GGCTAGAGTCGTGTGATGGTGACAAATGGTGCGGTGAATTTTCACGACCTTCGCGGTGGTATAAACCGCCTTGTGGAGTGTGGGAACCTCCCGCACGATGATGATCGGGATCGTTATTCTGGCGGTGATGAGAATCGTCCCGCCTAATACTTTTATGGGAGTGCTCATGCGACGTGGCATGGGATGGCTCGGGATGCGACCTTTCACCGAGCCTTAACGCCACGGGTATTCTACTCGGGACGTAGTCTGTGTTTGCCGGCCCTTTGAAGCCCTTAGGCTCACTATTCGCCACTTCCTTACCCTTCCTTCGGCGCGCTGCGGTGCGTGTGGCTGGGGCTATCGCCCTTTTCCGCGCTTTTGCACGACCTGCAGGCGTTTTTGGCGATTGCACCGCCTCATTTGATTCTGGTGGCATGCCCCGGTCCAAACCGTCTAACCTTTGGTTGACCATTTGGAGAGTATTGTTGAACCTCTCCAGGTAGCTCATGATGGCAGGGTCAAGTTGTGAGCTTGAAAGGATATCCCCCGCAGCATTTTGTGGAACTGAGGGCACCTCGAGAGAAGTGTCCTCTTGTACCAGGGGATGTCCTCAGCACCATGATTGGTTCGCTCAGGTTTGAATCGGCGAGCCATTTGCTGTTGCAGGACCAGTTAGTCAGAGATTCTCCTAATGAAGGACAAATAGTAAATCAAGTCCTCCTTCTAGTGCCAAACTGTTGATTGTGATTTTGACACCAACTAAACGCACGTGTGAAATGCTGAGTTGGCCTAGAAGACACACGTGAATAGGGGATGGAGAGTGTAAATGGTGGAAAGACAATGTTTAAAGTGGTTCGGATGCTTAAACAAGCGAATCCTAGGTCCACTGATATTGTATTTATATTTGAAGGTCAGGTCGCTACTTAGCGAGCTGATTTTGGAGTATTGAGAATACAAATGAGAGAGAGAGAGAGAATAAGCTATTACAGAGCGAAATTAGCTAATCAAGAGTCAAATTGAGCGAATCCCACAAACGGGAGAGAAACTCTCTATTTATAGTGGGATACCTTGAGGTAATGATTATTAAATCCGTAAAAAAAGGTCAGGTACCGTGCAAATCCTTCTTTGCATCCCATTGTTCACCAACTCGCATGATTTTCTCGGTTCATGCAGGGATTGGACACGTGGACGGCTTCCAGCCTCTCGTCAGTCTAATGCATACTCACTACACTAGCAGGAACATGCTACTCACGACAGCATGTGACATGGCCGCGCCTGAATGGCTGTAGGATTTGTCTAGACTCTGACCATTTATGCTGATTGGGCTCTGCGTCAGCCCTACTTTTTCAGACATAACATAATTTGATAACTATGATTTTGCGGTATAGCTATATCCGCAATTATCAGGCTTAAGTTTAGTTTATCCAAGATTTAATACTATAAACTTTAAAGTAGGGAAGTACGATGAACCTTTTTGCAGGTCTAAGAATTTCATGATATGCTGTTCTTCAGGATTTTCCATTACAAAGACTCTGATGATATTTTTTATCCTTATAGTTCACTTCATGCTCTGTCATATTGTGATAAAAGTGAACAAGGATATACTTTGCTTTGTTCTATGAGCCAGAGAATAGATATTATACTCCAAAAAGGATGGAAGCTTGAATGCTAAACCCAGAATATGCCATAATTGTTAGAAACAAAATGAAAAGAATAATTAGAATATGACATAATTTTCAAAATTTTGCGTTACAGAGGAAAAAAAAAAGATCTATGCAAAATGAAGAAAAATTTATTGATAAATGAGAAGATAAATTGAACTAACACTTAGTAAATGGAAGAAATATAACGAGTCTTACCTTCGAAGATAAATATCATCAGCTTCGAAATTTTTTTCTCAATTGTTTGAATCTTTCTATTTTTATTTCCAAAAAAAATTAATAAATGTCCCGATATATTAACGAAAACTCCCAGATTAATTAGGGTCAAAACATAATTCTTTACTCCTAATAAGTGTTACGTTCTACACAAAAATTATAATTACGAAAGAAATAGTAACAGCACAAACAAATTGAGATAGCATTCTTACAATTAAAACTAGATCAGCTCTTCTGCAGCCTTCCAGAAATTATCTATCATTGAAATATTTGTCCAAAACTACATGAAGACTGAGAAGATGCTTTATTTAGGCCATTCTATAGGCATGATCTGAAAATGTCCAATTTCTTTTTAATTTCATTGTGTAAGGAATGAACCTCTTTTAAATTTTTGTTAAACCTTAGAGGAAGTAGTGTAATAAGCCTAAAATTTTAGATGAAAAATAACAATTTCATCCTTTAAAGGGTATTTTTTGTCCCCTTATTTGTTAAATTTACACTTAATCCCCTTAAATCGAATTTCCTGTATAAATTTTAAACTTTGGCCTCCATTAATTTGTTAAACATTACATTTTCACTCCATAATATAATTTTTTGGACTCCACTGCTTATACGAGAGACAATTTTATCATATTGTGGTCAAAGTTGCTTTGAAATTTAAGAAGGTGCCCTTTTAAAGCACTTATTGATGTAATCATATTACGTTTGAATGAAAAAATACTTATATAAGACTGTCATACCACCTCATGACTCATCTAACTGATATTGTGAGACCTTCCAATAAAATAATGACATGTGTCATATATATGTCAAATTTTCTCTTTCATCCACCTATGAGCATAATTAATCAATAACTACCACAATGGATGATTTAAAGTTGTAGAAAGCACCACTGCGACCTGTTCATGTCCCGACACATGGAGTGTTAATTCAACTACAAGGATCGTGAATTAAGAGATTCGGGTGATAGACGAAGGCGTTGGTCCATCAGTGCCTTAGGGGCAATCATCTGACCTGCGCCAATGTATAAAAAGACATTTGAAATTATTACAGTAGCAAGGAGAACTTACGGACTAAAAATGAGGATTAATCGGGCCTTTGCCTCTTTTTTCAAAAGACAAAAAGGATTCCAGAAAAGGAGGAGACAATTATAAAAACTAACTATATATGTCATTATGTCATAGGATAGTCTCATCATATCAGTAGTAAGATTGTCCCAGAAACTTATCATATGAGTAGTAAGATTGTCCCTTATAAGTATTTTTCAAATTGAAGACCAAAATGTATTATGTATTATAGTTTACGTGAGTTTATTTGAGCGGCATATAGGAACCGCTGAAGCAAGACCATTGTTGATGTAAAGAAACAAGAATCAAACATTTACTGCTTGGAATTGCAAGATTTACGTTGCCGCCGCTACAGAATTAGATAAATATTTCCACTGTCGACAGACAGTACTTGCAGAGATCTGCCCCACTGCTTGAATGCAGTCTTACGTGTGTTTTTTAATGTTTATCCCCCAGCCCACAATTCGATGGCCATTATCCATCTTATTCCATCCCATCATGCATGTTCACTTTACTTGGCGACTGAGATCTGGCTACAGGGATATTATCGGAAAGAAATACTTGTTTATTTTTACTATTCTTTAATATCAATCCAAGTTTAAATTAATTCGGATTAAGAGAGAAGTTTAAGATAATTGTTTCGACTCTGGCAAATACTGGAATTAGTTTTTGTTGTAAGTTATTAAACCTGATTTTATGTCCAGTAATATAAATTAAATTTCATGTATATATTTATATAGAGAGATTAGAATAATTTTATTTTTTTAATTAAATTAATAAAATGAATTTTATGTGTAATAAAAGTTTACATAATATAATATGGAGTTATGGACTTTTTCCCATCCAAATAATGATTTGATGACACTTTGTTATCCACAGATTTTTAAAATATTATTTTATTATCCAAATTTATATTTTGGTATTAGCTATTAGGATTTTTGAAGAGAGAAGACCGATGAGTCTTTTAGTGGTAGAAGGTTAGATTTTGGTTATTGGGACTGATCAGAATTTAACTTGAGAGAGACAGCTACGGAAACCATAATTACTTAATTACTTGTGATTGATAGGGTCGACGGGAGTACAATTTAAGATTTTTATGATTGATGTGTGGTGTCATAAGTCATAACAATACCAAAATTAAAAACATAACATCTCACAATAATACCAAAATCAAAAACATAATATAAATTTAGATGCTAAAATATAATTTAAAAAAACATGTGATACGAAAGTGCCGCTACTCATTATTTGGGTGGAAAAAAAAAGTAGTTTACTCTATAATATAATATAATACTTAAATTTTTGTTCACGTCAGTAGACCATATGCCTGTCATGTGAGTTGGCATGAAATTATTACTTCATTAAATGCCCATTCATGCAATTTTGTGCATAAAATAAATGTCGATCGAAATCCAAAACCCAATCTGTTGCACACAAGAAACATCAAACACACACAACAATGTCAAGATTTAAAATGGTTTATTGGCTCAAACTTTGAGTAAGCTATATCCACGTATTCGAAAAACATATGAGCTTGTTATACCATTATTGATCAAGAATCTAATACAGATTTACACACTCAGTACAACAATCATTCAATTCTCAATAATCTAAAACCAATCACAAAAAACCAGTTTCAAGATTCAACCTGCAAATCACAAGAAAAAACCCTAAGAGACCCAATTTGCTCAACAGATAAGAAAGAGAGAGTAATCACTTAAGAAAATATATGCTTTTAAGTGTGCTTTATTGTTGACCAAGGAGACTCATTGCAACCATTGGATCTTTAGTCAATCAACGCTTAGAATTAACTCACCCTTTGCTCAAAACGGCACCGCTTCATTAAACCTAAAATGTCACCACTTCAAGCCTTCACCACAACAATGAAATTACACATTCTTCTTAAAGAATTAAATAATATGGACTAACACCTATAAAGCATAGTTTTTGTATTAATTCAATAATAATTTTATACCAATACTATAAATAATTCTTAATTTTATTACAATCATTAATAAATTAAAAGAAAATCTATTTCTCTCCGATCTCATAATCATAAGAAAACTAAACATCAATGTAGAAACAAAATAAATATGGTACTTGTTTACTGTTACAAAATAGTATTACAAACATATATATTCACGATATCTCGGAACTAAACCCCAAAAACTAGATCCCATCTCGGCCGATATACTATTTTAACAAGCTTTCAGTGGCTTCCCACACAGACAATCGTTATAAGCAAACTGAGAAGCTTCGAGATGATCAAACGGTGAACCGGCCGGTATTCTCCCGCAAAGATGGTTGTGACTCAAATCCAAATGCCCGATATAGGACGCCTGCGACACCGATTTCGGAATTGGCCCTCTCAGATTATTAAACGATAAATCAAGCGCTGTAAAATAAGATCTCGGCACGAAAACATCCGGTATTCTTCCTTCAAGCGAGTTCTTACTCAAATTTAAATTACTGATAGCTGAAGTTAACAAACTCGCCGGTATAGCCCCCGAAAGTTTGTTAAAATCAAGATTCAGTGTCGCTAGGACCACCATCTTGCCTAAAGAAGCCGGTATTTGGCCCGCTATCTGGTTCATGGACAAGTCCAAATCAGCGAGACGATAAATTTTTGAAATAGATTCTGGGATCGTACCGGATATCTGATTCCGAGACAACAAAGCTCGACTCAACATGGGAAGCCGCCCTATATCTGGCGGAATCGGACCCGAAATACGGTTGTTACGTAAATCAAAATGCATTAAACTAGAAAGATTAGTCAAAGACTCTGGAATTCTTCCCGTTATATAATTATCAGCAATGTTAAAAACGGTAAGCCTATGAAGCCGTCCGATATCCGCCGGAATCTGGCCTGATAACTTGTTCCCGATCAAATCAATAATGCGGAGAAATGGAAGCGAAGTGACGCAACGAGGGATTTCGCCAGTGATTCCTTTCCAGTCAGCGATAGTCAAACTCGAGAGACGCTTCAGTTTACAGATCGCCGGTGAAATATAGCCGGTCATGTACCCAGTTTTATGAGCCCCTTCAAATATCGGGTCCTCCGACTCACCACGAAGGTTAATATCAGCAACACGGTGAGATTCCGCGTCGCAACTGATGCCATACCAGTTGTGACAACAGTCGTTGCCCGTCCACGTGTTGAAGATGCCTAAATAAGGCTCCTTGAGGGCAGCTTTGAAAGCTAAGAGAGCCGCCCGGTCTGACGGATGGCAGGCGTGGACGACGGAAAAACAAACGGCGATGAAGAGCAGTAAAAACATAATGTGGTGGTGGGAGAATGAAGCCATGGTGACCGTGATTAAACAAAACGGTGCAGAGACGTTGGGAGAAGTGAACTCTGATTTAGAGCATGGAAGTGAATACGTTGTTATTAAATAGTGGTGATAGTTTTTGGGTGACGGTTTTGCCCCTAACGTGGATTTTAGCTGGTTCTTACTTCTTAATAGCTTCTTCGTCGTGTTGCTGCCACGTGTACTATATTATTGTCAAATGACTTTTTAGACCATGATTTCATAATGATTATTATTTTTCTTTCTTTTTTTACCGTTATGAATAAAACACCATGATTCAAAGTTGAACTTTGCTGAAAATTTTGAATATTTACAGTGAAGTGAAGTATTTTCTGCAAGTAGGGAAAATTGGAAACACCTGTTGGGAAAGGGGAGCTGAACCCAATAATTGAAAAAGAAACAGGTGGGTGAACATGGGGGAAGAGATAAGCTTCAAACAGGATTTTATAAGAATGTGCAAAGAAGGTCACTTGATTTGATGACTGAAGCACAGTTGCATGGGGTGTTCTTCAACGTGGCAGTTTCAGGTTCATTGCCATTCTCGAAAATGACAACCCCCCTAAATTTTAATATCTTCTTTTATCGGAAAAACTCACAGATTAATCGAAAGAATTAGAGTTACAGTTTACTCTTCTAAGCTTTTTTTTTTTCAAAAAATTGTAAAATTCTTCCTAAACTCTAATTTTGAATTGGGGTTTGGTACTCTCATAAGGTTCAGAATAATTTTCTGCTTTCCAAAAACTATAAAATTCGGAGTAAATTCTAGTTTTAAACTTGGGTTTGATTCTGCGTAAACTCTAATTTCGAATTCAGACGTGAAAATAAGTAGTTTGAGATTAATTGAGCATGAAGGGTCCAAAAACTGGGGCAAAGTAAATGTCGATATCCTTCTTGATTGCCCCACGAGGATATGAATCTTTGTCTGCCCAAAAGGTATCATCAATTCGATACTTAGGCATTACTCTATTATAATTAATGCAGGGCAGCCATACAGTTCACTCCAGTCAGATTGTGCCTGAAGGAGTGATCTGGGTCGTGGGATTGCCTTATCATCACACTGTGGAAGCTGCCCCATTAAGATGATGATAATGCTTGTGGGTCATTGAAATCATGGAAGTCGATCACTTATACATGTGGATTTCAAACAACCAAAAATTTTTGAACATATCTTGAAGATGTGATTTGTTGAATTATGAGACAATAACGTTACCGATCTTTGATGATTATTGAATTGATAATGTAAAAACGTTACTTTCGAGATTATTAGAATATTGGAAGTCTGATGATTGTTAGAAATCGATAATATTTCTGATAACTTGATATTTCCTAGAAAACATATAAAAATTGCGTAATTACATAATTATTAAGTGGATATAATATTAGAACATTATTTTCAAATGATAATGATAGTTGTAATAATAATACATGAATTAATTATTAATAAACAAAACATTAAAACTATAACATCAATTATAAGACTTTATATGTCATATGATAAATTGCTGAATATTTGACTGACTCTTACTGAAATTATTGACCTAAAAATTGTGATTAAATAAATAATTGAAGTGGCAATATCCGACAAGCCAGTCTCAAATCTCAACCATGTTACGAGAAGCCTTATCCACAGGATTGTCTTAGTTATCAAAAAGATTTTAAAACTAATAAACAAATGCGAATCAGATTTAACAGACAAATAATTTGCTTCCGTTCAGAGTTTGCAAAAGGTCAGACAACCAGCTAATCTTTAAAATAATAATCTGAAAAGGGTCAGTGACGATAACAAAAAAAAATATTTTAATTTTTTAAGGGTTTTTTTTTTTTTTTATAGTAAATCTGGTGTGTTCGGTCTTTTAATGCGAGTAGACACTCGTTTTATAAATATAATCCTAACTCCTGTGCATTTTGCCTTTTTATATAAATACCCACTAATTTTGCAAATATGACCCTAACTCTCATGTTTTTTATCTTCTTTACCGTGAGTATCCGTTGGTTTCGAAAATACAATCTTTACCCTTACTTTTTAAAAGACAATAAGATTATTCTATTTAAGTTTGAATTAAATAATGTTTTTACTATTCACCCAACTTCAATCAATTTAAAATTTAAATTTTGTCAATAATATTGAGAGGTTAATAAACTTTTTGAAGGTTAAAATAGAAAAATATTGATAAATTTTAATATTGAATTAATGACATTTTCAAAACAAATGGATGTTCATTACAAAAAGCACACTGGGGTTAAGATTTCATTTCCGAAATCGGTGCGAGTTCACTATAAAAAGCCAAAACACTGAGAGTTTTACTAAAAAAAAGAAAAAAAAAACCTAATTTCAAGAAACATTGTCTTTGAAAATGGGAAATTAAGTGATTAAAAAAAATGCTAATTTGATTTTGTTCTGGGGAGATTCTGAAGCGGATATGTCGATTAGCTGGCAGGCAAGTTATGAGATTAAAATAAATTTAATAAACTATCATACTTAAAAGAGAAATTAAACATCAATCATGCCTTTTCTCTTGTAGTCTTGTTGCATGATTGGGATTAGATTAATCTGTCACATGTGCAAGATGAATTTTTCTTTTTTTCATATTTTAATAATCAATAGTTAATCAATTAATCTGTCACATGTGCAAGATGCATTGGATTAGTATATTAAATTTTTAGGGTTATGTCTTTACTTATAAAATTGTTCATGCTGATCTTGGTTTTGAATTTTACCGACCATATCATCAAGCATCCCAAAATATATAAAAAAACCCTAACTAAACTTGGTCAAAATAGACGTAAAATAGTTTATTCAGTCAGAAATGATCTTCTTCTATTGTTGAATCTATTATAAATTGTTTTCTTCGTTACTAGAGAAGTAATCAAAGTCATTTTCTTCGTAACATTTGATATAACTTTTTTTTTTTTTTTTTTTTTTTTGGTTGACTAGGGGTGTTTGGATTAGCTTATGCATACTTCAACTAATTCCCCGAGGCCCAGAAATTGACAACCGGGTAAATTTTCTCAGTGACTATCTCTATTAGCAACTCAGGTGGATCGAATTTAATACCTCTTGAGTAATATACCCAAGAGTCCTAATTGACCGTTGGACCATCCAATGGTGGTAAAACTCAGATATTATTGAATCTTTACCTACTAGCTTTTCGGACTGTATGTTGGACGGAATCAGAAATAGCAAATAATTTATGAAATGCTTGTCTATCTAATGAGAGTTGAGGGGTTTTCCAGGGGAATCAACAACCGAAGTTCTGGAGTTTGACCAAGAAATATTGAGTGAGATGATGATGATGAACCAGATATTTGGGATTCTGCATGTGCTTCTTCCACAAAACATGCCACTGAACATGCAGAATCCGGCTCCTTGCCTTCATTTTTATTATTTACTTGCTTTTCACCTTAAACTCAGGCAATGTTTGGTACCCGTTTAATATTAAACAGAAATTTGCTGACCAGATTGAGAAATTTGTGGAAGAAATCAAGAGCTTTTCAGGAATTTTTGAGAGTTTGTTTGTATGTGATTTGAGCAACTAAGGCTAAAGAAGAAGAGGTTTGGAAGCTTCCTGGATGTTCTTATTGGATTATATATAATCTATATGCCCTGAATTTTTGCAGGGAATTTCGAGCACTGTGACACATAACAAAGTTAGATTATAGATTTATTTTAAAGTATTGTAAAGATTAAAGATAAACTATTTAATGAAGAAATTGAGATGGGGCAGAGAGAATACGCATTGAATGTCACATAAATTAAAGGGTTGCTTAAATACCCCATAATTTTAAGAGCTGGAATACATGGCCCCAGATAAAACATTGAAGATGGGGATGAGAAACAGGCTAGAATTTCTTAACTGTAAAATAGTACATTTAACTTCCTACAGCCCTAAAACATTTCATGTGTACTCAATCTTTACAGAATAAACTAAACTTAAGTTACCGAGGGAGTCGATTATCCGGCAAATGTGTTGTAGTCACATTGTGAAACTGTGTTGTGGGTACATTGTGAAACATTGTAGGTAACACTTGCAGCTGGGTTGGCACAAAATTATGCAACTGCGTTCGCCTCATGTCAGAAAGCTCCTGCAACCACAAGTATCAAAGGGTATTAATGTTTTAGGATATGTATATCATCAATGGTAAAACTATATTCTAGAGGATATTAATGACGACAAATTAACATACAAGTAGATGAATTATGTGGCTACAAACTCATGTGAAATTAAGGCGCCTATATAACCAAAGTGTCCAAAGGTTGTAAGTACGTAACTCAAAAGTACTATTAAGTTGCTTGAAAGTATATTGTCCTAAACTCAGCATCATTAAGTTTCATTACTCTATGCCAGGAATAACTAACTCTTTAACTGAAATAGAAAAGAACCGGGAGCATGACAAACCATTTGGTGACAGCCATCTTGAGTCTCAACATTCATAGTGCCTGGTTGAGTAATCTGCCACATATATGAAGTAGACTGCAATTACTTTTTGTACCCAATTCATATATCAAAACATTTCAAGAGCAACAAGACAAAGAAACAAAAATATGAACCATCTAACTCACTAACCTTTCCTTTTTTATTTGCATTAATTCCCTTTCCCTTTCCTGCCTCAGTTCTGCTAGGATTACTGTTGGTAGAAGTCACTGAAGGATTGGGAACCTTGTCTTTAGATGCATTACCAAATTGATTCTCTTCCTCAGCATCACATAAAGCAAGAATATCTGAGGCAATAGGTCTGACATTGTTTTCCATGAAGTTATTCAGAGTTGCACATTGCTTGAGAGCTTCTTGTATGGCACCCAGTGCAATATTATAACTCTCTTGCGATAATGACCCTTCTTCGCCCAAAATAATGGCTCTTCGGCATAGATCATTATAACGGCGAACCTTGGATTGCACCTCATCCAATCTTTCACTCATAGCATGCTTACTCTTAGCCGCATTTGTCCATCGTTGCAATATATATTTAGATGGGATGTTGAAAACACCAGACATCTGCAGAACAATAATAGCATGTCTACAAACATAGCCTTTATATTCAAATGAACGACAAGAACAATATATATCTGATTTAGACTGATTCCATTCCACCATATAGTTCTGATCATCTTCAAAGTCCTTCACACTATATGTTGAAGCTGTGTCAACTTCATTTTCTTTCTTAAGATGACAAGCAGCTGCTCCTAAAACCTCAACTTGAAATTTCTTGAAAATTTCATGTGTGTACACAAGTGACATTTGCTTTTCGAAAGGTGATGGAGATTTCAATTCAGGTGTTTCATGCCACGCATCAAAATCAGCTTTGGCTTCCTCTTCATACCTAACTTCAATAATCACTCTGTACTGTTCAATGAACTCTCTCAATAACGTTTCTCCACGCACATACTTGTCAAATGTAGAGTTTAAACTCTCCGAGCGTGAAATTGTAGACAATGCAGCAAAAGAAATACCTCTCATGAATGTAGGAACCCAATGTTTGCGATCTTCATACAGTGACTGAATCCATGGCACCTCTCTGAGATGAAATTTGTCAACCAACTTCCACCACCTCTTTTCAAATTGTTCCTCAGTCCATGACCTGTTAATACACTTATCAAATTTTACCATAAAACTATCGTGCCATGGGTTTAGATACTCCAGATTCCCAGGAATCTTTTCCAATACATGAAACAAACAAAAACAATGGCATGTGTCTGGAAATATTGCTGCAATAGCTGCTTTTATGGCATCATTTTGATCAGTAAGCATCACTCGTGGAGCTCGTTCCCCCATTGCTATGTACCACGTTTGCAATAACCAAACAAAAGTATAAAGAGTCATATCTGCAATCAATGCACAACCGAGTAATGTGGGTTGAATATGATGGTTAACACCAACAAAAAGAACCAAAGGTATTTTATACTTGTTTGTAACGTATGTAGTGTCAAAAGAAACTACATCACTGAAATTAGTATAATCTTCCATGCCTTTGGCATCCACCCAAAAGACATTCCTTAACCGATGCTCTTCATTCAAATCAACTGCATAGAAGAATTTAGGATTTTCTTCTTGCATATGCATAAAATATTCTAACAGCACTTGAGCATCTCCTGGATCTAAAACCAAATTGCGTCCCTTATCATGCTGATTTCTCATGTAATTCTCTAAGCAATCAACATTTTGATATGCAGAAAAGAGTTTAGACACTGGAGCTATGTTCTTCCGTCTTCTTATCCTAACATCATTCTTAAGCGGATCAACATTTCTATGACTTCGGAAAAAATGTGCCTGAGCTGGTAAAAGCTCATGATTGTGCTCCCTAATAAAGCTAAAAATAAACCACTTTCCATTTGACCTTCTTTTCACATGCATACTCGCCTTGCAACCGATTTTCGGAGATGGTCGTGGATTAATGGCATCATCAGATTGTTGCTTGTTTCCAAATCTTATGCATGAAAACTTTGCATCAATGAATTCCCTTGATGCCCTAGAACGACGACTGCTCAATTTAGCAGTGCCAAACCCCATAGCCTTGGCATATTCTTTGTAAAATGAATATGCAGCTTCATGAGATTCAAATTCCATATCATCACGAGGCTCTAAAAGAGAATTGCCTGTGAATTCATTAGAACCCATCATTGTATTGGGTCTGTTCAGATCACAGATAACAAAATAAATTTTGGCAAATTTTTCCCCACATTTGTCTTCAGTCTTTCATATGGCGTCACAAAGGTTGTTGTTCAAAATCCTGTGGCGATGGTTTAAACTTTTTACAAAATGACTACATCATGGAGGTGCCTAAAATGAAAAATAACAATTAACATAGATCAACATCCAGAAATAATCAACTTCCCTACTCTGACCTCAAGAAGCATTTGTACTATAAATGGAAACAAACATATAAAAAGTGCAAACAAAAATTGACCCCAGGATATGATTCATTAGTTAATCATGTTAATCAATTGAATCCAATATAACAACAAACATAACTGACCAAACTTCTTGATACATAACTTTGTTGGAGATCAGAAATAGTCCATTTAACAAAATATAGATTTGGAATGATTGGAAAGAGAAGATTCTGTAAGTTGCACAAAAAAATAACAATTTTTAGGTACTAAATATTTGACAAAAGAAAACACTGATCTAAAAGTTATTAATAATTAAAATGAAAAAGGTACTTAGTGTCAAAAAAATTTGTAATGGTTGAATTACTAATCATAAAAATCTAAAGGCAATTATCATATCCTGGCACTCAGAAGCTATATTAAAAGCTACTTCCTAGGAACTTCTATAGAATACTTGAAAGTTTATGGCATAGTACACAGGCTTCTGTGACAACAAAAACATTAATATTCTTCAAAGAACCTCAACCTGCAAAGCACAATGTATATCTATAGTTTTTATAGAAAATATAGCCTCTTTGAAAGCTTAGAGCTAAATTCATTGGTCCTGAGGAAAGAGAAAATGCCATTTCTCATCTAAAGAAAAGAGCCCTGGGTACTATTAGTCGTCTCTGTCCGCTAATGGTCCCCTTTTTTTTTTTTTAATTAAAGTGGGAACATTTTGTAATTTTTTATTTTCTAATGGTTTTTGGAGTTATAGGTTGTATATTGACTCTTAAGTAGATTATTCAGCCACGGATTTTACATATCTAACACATAGTTAATTCCTGATTCTACAGAAGGTTTTCCTAAGTTTTCTAAGCATTATTCCATGTCTAATCATCAATTTAACCAATGTTTCCATCAAACAAATTAACTGTAAAGCCCCTATATCACACATCCAATCTTGGCACCAACTCAAGTCTCTCCCTAAACAAAGAACAAAGTCAAAGGAGCTTTTCTCTTTCAAGTATATCAAACATAAGTCAAACCAAGTTTCATGCCCACATTTGAGCAATAATGATGATTAAGAGTCCATCCAGAAGATTGTGACCCATTTCATATTATAATTTTCACAACTTCAACTCTTAAGCCTAATTTATTTGTCTCCCAAGTAATTCCCAAAGGCTATATGCCAGTAACAAGCTTGTCAAACCATTTCCAAGACAGAAAAATATATTCAACTACAAGTAAGCAACCGTCCCAACTGCATCAATCAGCATAAACATCATTTCCTCTCCACCTCTTTTAAACTTAGAAACAATTCAATTTACCATAAAACAAATACAGTCCACCCTGTTTTACGAACATTTTTTTTGGAACGAACCCACTTTGCACAGTCAATAAATCTATTAGGAAATCCACATTTTCATCTTCCAAAAACTTTAGGAATCCTGGCACTTCGATACTAATGAGCATCAAATCACTCCAAGGAAGTACTGTTCACATTCCCCTTACAACTAAACACACATTTATATCAAAAAGGAAAAAAAAATCAAACTTTTTGTTCCTTTATCCAATTTTTAGCCATTACCCACTTCTCATTCTGCCCCAAAATTGCCAAAGAATAAACAAACAATAAAATTCCCAATATCAACATTAACCAACAAAACATTTATTTTTACGCCAAAATAAACTAAACTTACAATTTATCATGACAACTACAGAAAATTGAATCATTTAAGCCTAATTAAACCATACTTAACCTTAAATTAAACAAAATACAAAGTGGCCAAAAAAATTTGGAAAGTTTTAAAAAAATACGAACAAACGAGCTAAAAAACGAAACCTTACCAGTAAACTGAGTCAAAAAGAGAAACCAAGAGCGACCCAATTAAGGGTTTTGTATTCTGAGCAAGGAATTTGAAGTTCGAACAGGAAGTTCTGTGTTCTGTTCAGGGTTTGAGTTCTGTGAAGGAGGAAATTCTGGGGTTTGATCAGTTTCTGGGACTCGCACCGTCGTTGGATAGAAGCTACGCGTCATGTAGTGGCGACACGTGTTGGTTCCGAGGGTGTTTAGGGGATTTCGGAGGCGGGGAGGAGGGCTATTTTGGTAATACAATGAGAGTGAAATTGCAAGTAAGCAAAGTTTATCATGTTTCTGCCGTTGAAATTTTTATTTGCAATTTCATAGTTTTAGAACTTTCAATTTTTTAATTTTATTATTAATTTTTAGGTTTTATTTTATTAAATTAAAGGGAAAATATTAAAAAATAATGAAAGAAATAGTTTTTAATTATTTATTACTTAAATGATTTAATTTTCGTAAAAATGTGTAATAATTCTTTATAGGATTAGGAATGCATTTAGAATTATTTTTAAGGTTTTTCCTTAACCCTAAAATTTAATCGAATAATAAAATTTCTCTTAAGATTTCATAAATTATATAAATTTTCTTATATCATTTAGAATTTAGAATATAATAAATTAATGAATATTTACTTACCTACCGTCACCAATTTAATAATAGAAAGAATTTTGTTATTACTATAACCACATAGGGCTTTTTATTTTTATTAGTAAAAAATTTTCAATCAAACGGTATATATTAAACTTTTTATTAAAGCATTCAAATTAATCTAAGGAAAAAAATGTAATTACATATAAGAATCAAATGTAAATAAAATTTAATGGAAATTCATACTACTCCTCGTCTATTTTCTAATGGGCTACATGAAGCCCAAAGAAATTCCAAATTTGTGAATCATAGCCCACTTTCTTCTCAATCAAGCCCATAATAAGAAACGGGCCGGGCCCCATTGGGCTTAACCCAAATTGGCGAACATAAGCCAAAATAATTGGTTGAAAAAAAATCTGGTCATTTATGAGGAGAAAAGTTTTGAGTTGAGATTCATTAATTCATTTGTTGATTAGTCATACAAATTTGACTTATAATGTCTTGAGCTTTTGTCAATTTTTTCTCCTCTTTTTATATTCACACTCGCTGTCATAAATTATTCAGATAAGATTTGTTTCCAAACCGAGCAATGTTATATATATATATAATTATTCTTCTAGAACTAACTTAAAATAAAACATATGTATTCACCATAAAATGCGTGTTTAAAAATTAAAAATAATAAGAATATAAATTAAATCATCATACTATATGTTTAAACACTTGTTTCCCAGGTCATACTAAAAAAGTTTTAATTTTTTTCACAATGAAATTATGTTCACATCCCTTTGAATTTGAATAATTTAGGAGAACTCGTATAACATGAAAAATAATAAAAGATTTCACGTTAATTTCGTTACTTCATGTAATGGTTCTCAACAAAAGTGAAAACACATATTAGTCATCTATATTTCATTTGACCCTCAATGGATATTAGAGATTCATATTCTTAATGTAGTATATATTTCCCATCTACATCTCAACCTAATTTAGTCGATCATACCTTTAAATAATACAGGCAAAGAAAGTTGAATTGAATATATATCTCGTCAATTTTGTATGAAATATCATTTAATTCCTTACTGAAGATCATATTTCTCTTCCTAATCTAGTATTACTTTGATAATAATTACAATAATCCAATTTTTTAGTGGATCATATCTTTCAACAAAATGGGCAAAGAAAGTTAGGGAAATTGGTAGGGCAAGCAAGAGGTTAGGGTTTTGTTTGTAATGACAATTTTGGTGAAGAATTTATTCCAATTCATGTCCTTTGCTCCAATTATTTGAGTTTCCACCTCATCCGCTCACCTTTTATGCATATATATCCTTTAAAACCAAAAATGCCCTTTTGATATTCATATTGTTCATTTATTTCTTCCCATTATCTCAAATTCTCTCATTTTGCTTTGTCTTCTCAAATGAGTTATCCAAAAAATGGATTCTATTAAAGAAGATTTAGGTATAATTTGCAATTTTGTTAATGATACTTGTATTTAATATTACCCCAAAGACAAAAATTAATAAAATGGGTTCGATTGTATTATGTAACACTGTTTAATGGGGTATGATATTTAGATTTTTAAATTTTTTTATATAAATTTATCACTATTTTTCGACAATCTATGATTCAACGTTTTAAATGATATGAAATTAATTAACACATAACCATAGTTTAATTTATTTTTCACAAATTTGTATCAAAATTTTAAGTTACAAATTTAAATTGATATATTCTAGCCCCTATGTAATATGTGAAAAGTTAATTTGCAAGATTATTAAAAATTCTTTTTTTTTTTTTTACTTTTTTTTATTAGAAAAGTAAACACTTAAATTTCAAATCCATTAATTTAATTGATTGAGATACATAATAACTTTTATTATTCAAAAATAAAGAAATTATCAAGAATTAATAAATTAAATAAATAAATTTCCCATATTAGGAAGGGGAAAAAAGAGAAAATAAATTGAGGTATCTTTTTTATTTTTATATATATAAATGGACAAAGTGTAAAACAAAAAATAATAATAATAAAATAAAATAAAATTGCGGGTATCTTTTTTACTAAATTTCAACAAAAGCGGTGCCTTTGAGTGCCGTTCACTATCAAAGTCAATTACTTAATTAATTAATAGAAGGAAAATAAAAACGGCCCCGTACAGACCTAACTTTTTGTTAACTTATGCTTTCATTCTTAATTTGACTAATTTTTCTTTAACGTCGGTGATTAGGTGTTGATTGTCTAAAACTTCTAGAACAATATTAAAAAATTATCCACATTTTGTGCCGATTTCTTTAAATAAATTAATTATATCATGGATATCTTCCTCTAATTAAAATTGGATTTGGATATTCTCACTTAAATTTTGATATTCCTTATAAAATGTTGATCACTATTAATCTAACGATAATTAAGTAATTACATTAAATGTTAATTCAGTATCTCTCACCGTCGTTCCATCAAAATAAATCATTCATTAAAGAGTGTCAAAATTTTAAATAAAAATTAAGCTATAGTATCATGAAAAACAAAAAGGGTTAGAAATTAGTGTTTAATTAAATTCAATAAACAAAATTATCATTAATATTCGGTCTAATAATCAGACCGTGAGCCTGAAAACTTAAATTGATGTGATTAAATAAGTAATTAATTATAATCGACAGCTAATTAATTAATTTTTTTTTCTTCTGTAAGCAGACGTGACTATCACTAATTCACTACTAAGGTCCCAAAGGCCAAAGTCTTTAACAATATTATAATTATTTTTAATTAGCATAGTTTAAAGCTTTAACATAATTAAATATAATTAATTTAATTTTGAGTGTTGACACTTCAAATGGTTCACCCGTCAAGTCCGGTTCGGTTCTTTTATAAAATGGTGCTGTGGGGTCCGAAATCGACAGGATCCGATTTTCTTGATCTTGGAATTAATTATTCATACTATGCCTTAGTTTGATTCACTGTTCATCATTTAATATTTGTTGGCCACGGAGAGAAAACTCGTACCAATATTATTATGCTAGGAGGGCCTCGTTGTGAAGGGTAGAGACCAGAAAAATTAATCTTTGGACCATGATTCAAGAGATATTAATGTGGAGAAACATCAGTACGTCTTATATTGTAGAAAAATGTTGTCGTTACTCACTCTTTTTACTCATTTCTCTTACTCACCTTTGTTAAAATGACATATGGTATCCGTACTATGCTATATATTTACAAAAGTGAGTAAGACTAGCATTACTCTATATTGTATTATGACCTTACATTATAAATTTCTATCCTCTAAAAGATTTTTAGGTTAAGTGTAATTAAAATAGTCAATATTAACTCCTTTGACCTTAATTCAAAAGATTATTATTGAGAAATATTGTTATCACTATACTATATTAAGACCTTGTATTATGAATCTTCAAATTCTGAAAGATTTTAAGTACTATACATTTATTAATACAAGTTCCAAAAAAGAGTGAATAACATAATGCCTGTAAATACTCTTAGATAGTCGGGTGAAATGATAGTGTCCCAACCTAAAGAAGAAGAAGTAGTAAAGAAGAAGAAGGCAAAAGGAACAGAGTATCTGCTAGAGACTACCCAAGAAAGAAGAGTAAAAGACCAAAGAAATGATTCTTGTATATTTCATATATGAATGTTTTGTACAAAATGTCAATTTATACAAGTTTAAGAATCTCTAAAAGGAAAACATATATCATGTCTTAAAGCTGTAATCTCACATAATTAGGGATGTAATTACCATGAATTAAGCTACGTAATAACAACATAATAGTTGTCATACTGGCAAATATTAGTTTTCATAATCAACAATATTCATATCTTCACAGATAAAGACTCTTAGGTATATTACTTAAGGGGTTTGAGTTTGATTTCTCTTGTTTGCTAATAAAGATGGTTATTGAAGGGTTTATCTAGTCATTAACTTTAAGGTTTAGGAGATTAATCGACGTGCATATAAGTTGACTCAGACACCTTCGATATATATATATATATATATATATATATAATGTCGTATTTAACTCTAAATCATAGTTCAATTGATTGGAATCCAATTTTCTATTTATATTTAAATATAATTTTCTAGTGAATTTATTTTTAATTTAATTATAATAAAATCTCATTAAAATCAACAAAATATTTTCCTTTTTCCTTTTACGTACACTTGATATGCTAAAAGCAAGGCATAATGTTCAAAATCACATCATTTAAAGTTGGCATCAGTAGATTTTGGGCACTTGGCAAGACTACAAACCGCAAACTAGACTAATCTTTAGTTAAAAAACGACAAAATTAGTCACAATAAAAAGAAATATATATTAAAGAAAACGACATCGTAAATATCCCCAGGCCCCTCACTCTGTAGTGGTGGGACCCAGGTCAAATGTTCCACGTGTTTAGCACAAAAAGCTTCACATGATTAACAACATCATATATGATAATTAATCATGTATTAAAATTAGTGATTACTCTTAATTCAATGTGATTTGTCGTTTAGTAATTAGATTACTATAAACAAGATCTTGAACAAGTAAATTGAGATTTCAATCACATTAGGAGATTAC